TTTAGAAAGATTGTGGTTTGTATTTTTTGCTTTACCAATTAGAGAGGACCAAATGGATACAGATGTGTCATTTAATATCATCCATTCCTTCTTTTGTCTGTGTTGTCAAAAACATTTGGTAGCAGAAATTGCCTTCTACAATGAACTCCCAAGCAGACAATGGGCTGCCAATTAAAAATGGAGAACAAACAAATAAAAAGAACAGAGTATTACCCAGGAAATTTCCTTTTGAATTCTCAGAACATTTCCCTCTACTAATTGTCAGTTTAAAAGACCTTTGAGAATACCTAGGATATCCCCAATATGCCAACACTCAATTTATGAGACCTTTTTATTAATAAATGGGATAATAACATTTAAATACCATATGGTAGGGATACTTAATGTTCTGCTGGAACATTAAGCACTCAGCCTGAAATGAGGCAATAATTTTAGCAATAAACTACTAAAAGTAAAATAAATATAATTCATAATCTTAGATCTAGATAGCTCTTCATCTCTTTATTTTACAGCTAAATCTAAGAGTTCTATTTAGGACCAAAATGTTGGGAAGGGTAGGGATGTTCATTATAATTGTAGTTCAAATTGGGTCAAAAGTATCATTTTATTCACTTGAGAAGTGACGCTATAATTACCCAGTACCTTTTGATTGGCTTTGATTGCCCTGTATTGGCTTCTTAACGTCAGCAGATTAACTTCACCTTAAAAGCTTTTCCTTTGAAATTTCCCTTGCAGATATTTAAATATGTACATATGTACATTTCATATAGCTCCTGGTTTTAACTTAACCTGATAACATTTATGCCATACTTTTATGCTTTTATAAATGATCTGTAATCTTTTCATGTGTTTTATTATGTTTATTACAAAGACTATGACCTGAAAGCTTTTCTCTCTCTATGATGCACAGAAAAGTATGCTTTTGTGGTTGCAGTTGATTTGTAGGTAATTTTCTTTTATTATAAACAAGTAAATTTATTGGCAAATAAATTTGGAAATATTAAAACCTGAATTTCCAAATTTTGACTTTTTTCTCTCTTGTAGTAGAAGCACTTTTATCTACTATGGTCTAGACCTGTAGTTTTGTTAGATAACAAAATATCAGTAAACTCAGGAAATCATTTTAAAAGAATGCCCACATACCTTATTTTAATATACAACATATATATGAAAAATCATTTGCCAATATTGATATTAGGACAATGTTTTTTTCCTTAAGTTATGAATCCATTGATTGGCATTGGACCTCTTTCTATATGTGAACCACAACCGTAATACATTGTCTGCAATGAAAACAACAGTCTAAAGCAGCCTTAATTCAGAATATATGTAGGTTTTTATGATTTTTATTGTTTAATCTTTTATAATGGTCACATGTACCTAATTTAAGAGCTTTTTTCTTTTGTAAATATATCTTTAGTTAGTTGCCATCAACTTAGCTTCATTGAAATAGCTCTTTCACATTCATATTTTGTCAGTTTATATAATATTAAATATGTAATACATGGTTTTACATCACATACAAAGAGCCTATATTTCCTCTTGGTAAACATATTACAAATGCACATGCGGGCATATTAGGAAATAATCATCTCATTCTTGTCAGTTCTACAGAGGGAAAAAGGAAGAATCTGTCAGAGGATCAATTAAAAGAGCTACTATACATTGTTTTTACTACCTTTTGAAACTTATACAAATTAATTCATATATAGCTATATGAAAATAACAAAATACAAGAAAAAGATGATTTGGGAAGTCTACCTTACAAAGTAAGACCGCCTGAAAAGCTGGATCTTTTGCCATTCCGATGATTGTTTTAAGATTGCCTTTGTCAGAAAATTAAGAGAAAGTTTTGGCTTTCTCCATTGGTAATTAAAAAGAAATACTAGAGGAAAAAAGGAAATATGAGGTGTAGCCAATTTGGAAAACTGTTTAACATTACCTACCTGCTAAATTTGAACATATTTGTAAGCTGTGATCTAGCAAGTCCATGCCTAGGTATGTACCCAGCAGATAGGGGTGTGTGTGTGTGTGTGTGTGTGTGTGTGTGTATAATGGGGAAATGGAATAATATGTGGGTATCTCTGTTCACTAAAAGACATATGCAAGAAGGTTGATAGCGGTATTATTGGTAATGATCAAAAATTGGAAACAACCTGAATATCTGTCAGCAGTAAAATGAATAAATATGTTGCAGTGTACTTAATTAATGGAATACTAAGTAAGACAATGAGAATGAACAAATTACAACATGCAGCAATGTTGGTACATCTCACAAAACCTAACAATGAGTAAAAACAGCCAAACCAAGAAGATACATAACATATGAAAATGAACATCACTTTTTGATGTTCAAAAACAGGCACAAGTAACTGTGGTGTTAGAAGTCAGGATAGCAGGTACCTTTTGTGAGAGAGCAAAGAAATATGACAGGAAGGGAACTTAATTTGACTTCTGGGGTTTTAGAAATACTGTTTCTTGATTTGGATGCTATTCTCTGAGTTTATTCTCTCTGAATTGTACATTTGAGATATGTGTACTTTTATCATGTATGTATACTTAACAAAAATTTATCAAAAAATGAATGTGACTTTATCTGATATAACTATTATTAACTAGATGAGCCATGTAGTAAAAACACAAAAAACTGAGTTGAGCTCCACAAAAGGATTTGAGAAGGACTTAATTATGGACTCTATCAAAAAGGGAAGTAAGACTTAACAACTTAAATTGTATCATCTGTTGCTAATTTAGTTAGGATAACTCATTTCAGCCCAATTTGTTTTATTTGCATATTTGGTCTTTGGATTATGCAACAACTGAGAATTACTGAATATGCATATAATTATAAACCATAAGTTATTTTATCCTAGTCCCTTGAAAAGTAATCTGTATCAACCTCCTTATTAAATCAGTTTTTTTTTTTAAATGTCAGATTCTATTCAGGATAAAATACTGTTTAAAAATTAGGTGTAATTTTCATTAATTGACCTTTTTTATATAATACCCTTATTCATCTGTCCCACCTCTTTTGTCTCCATCATTTGAAAGGAAAAAAATAATGAAAATATTCTGGTATATATTATATTCATTCAATTTATGTAATAGCCAACAAAAATCAAATACATATTAGAATAAGATCAAAAGATTAGAGATTTTAAACCATCCTCTCATGGAACTCGCTGAATTTTTAAGACAAATTCCCACTATTTCAATAGTAGTAATGTAAATGCTAACCCAACACTTTATCATGTAAAAATCAATAGAGAAAAAAAATTCAGTTGCCATAATTAATAATCTCATTCAATGTAGGGAATGAAACACAATTGCATAAACTCTTGGTAAATATGATCTCCTTTTTAATTAAATTGTAGTTGTCACCCTTGTATAGTAAATACAGATGAAAAGTATTGATTTGGCAAGAGAAAAGACTATGCTTCTAAGTTATTTGATCAAATAGATAATCATTTTGAAAAACAGTTATATTAGTTTATATGTAACTATGATGTTTCAAGATATGGGATGGTCCGGGCATGGTGGCTCACGCCTGTAATCCTAGCACTCTGGGAGGCCGAAGCGGGAGGATCGCTCAAGGTCAGGAGTTCAAAACCAGCCTGAGCAAGAACGAGACCCTGTCTCTACTAAAAATAGAAATTAATTGGCCAACTAAAAATATATAGCAAAAATTAGCCGAGCATGGTGGCACATGCTTGTAGTCCCAGCTACTCGGGAGGCTGAGGCAGGAGGATCGCTTGAGCCCAGGAGTTTGAGGTTGCTGTGAACTAGGCTGGTGCCACGGCACTCTAGCCCAGGCAACAGATTGAGATTCTGTCTCAAAAAAAAAAAAAAAAAAAGATATAGGGACCCTGTAATTTCTACAAAGAAGAAAAATATTTGAAATAATGTGGTTTGGCACAAAATAGTAGCATTGTCCAATAAATGTCTACTTTCTTTGAAATAAATTTTCCTAGACATTGAAAATATATTCCTGAAGTTTCTTGAAATTTTTTTTGGTCCCTAGTGAGATATGAACTATAAAGCCTAGAAGAAAAAGTCCAAGCCATTCTAATGAATGTGTTCAATTCTTGGGACCATAATTCTCTGGGCACTGTGCTAACCACCCACTGACTTCTGTCTCCTGCTATGCTAACTCTGTGCCACACTCTGTGCCAGTACAGTATAGCAGTGGCTGAGTGTAAAGAATGAACTGAAAACAAGCAGTCTGGGTGGGGGATAACAATTCTCACAGAAAAGTGCCGTGACTGGGATTTCTGAGTCTTGATCCCCTCTGGGACTGAGGAAGCATTTGATATGGAGATCCATGTCAATGAGTAACCTGGTCCTGTTACTGTGGATTTGTGACTATTGTGGAGAGCAAGAGGAAGAAGAACCAAGTGCTTGTTCTTTCAACCCACCTTTAATCTAGTAGTTATCAGGCATGCCCACTTTGGGGAGAGAAAACTGGAGGAGTAAGCCAAATCAGAAAAGGTATGAATAGGAAGGAGCCACTGGGAAAGAAACAGAAAGGTAGAAGGAATAAGCAATATGGAAAAGAGCTATGTCACTATATGTTATTTTGAAAATGGGGGTAGTGTGTGTGTGTGTGTGTGTGTGTGTGTGTGTGTGTTTCATAAGCACCCCTGGCAGGAATTATTATTAATTGAAATGACCACACTAAAGTAGGAATGCAACCTGATTAGTGACCTACAAATATAAATAATTTAATTTGATCACTGTGTGACAATGTTGCTGCATTAGATTAGTTAGAAAATGTGTTACTCTTTTTTTCCGTCATTGAGTATGGTGAAACTTAAATTCTTCATACTACTTTCACGTTTTCTAAAAGCAACGTTATAATTTTCTTTAAAAAATATATGTTAAGTACAAATGTCTGTCTTATAATCTGTAGTTAATAGCTTTGAATAAATTCATGGAAATTTCGTGTTTTTAGTAGTGATATATCAAGAATATTTAACATTATACTCCTATTCTTTTATTAGGATTTGGAACTTGGAAGGAGTGCAGACAGCTCATTTTGTTCTTCATTCCCCTGGCATGAGTGTATGCTGGCATCCTGAGGAAACTTTTAAGGTTATTATTTATAACAGCTTTCTTTTATCAGACCAAAAAGATATATTCTGATATAATACATACACACATAGAGGAGAAAACTCAATGACTTTCTACCTCAGAGATACTAATTGTATAAATGCATTTGGATTCGTGTAGAAATCTGTACTTTAAAAATTTCTCCATAATTGTTAAAGTTTTTATTTGACAGTCATCATCCGTAAATGGCATTTATTCAGAGTATACTTTTCCTGACCTCTGATAGACTACAGAGTCTGATGCTCAATCTACTAGCAGTATGCAGTTTAAAAAAGAGTTACATCCACACTTGAGAGCCATAATGTATAAACGAAAAGCATTAGTGGCATAAGGCAAATTTGTCTTAGCTGTAGTAGTGTTCAATTCCTATTGAAGGTGGAGCTTTGTAAAATATTAATTCAAAAAAAACACTATAAGGTTTTTATCACCTTAATTCTTACTTCATTGGGAAGATAGGAGTCTTTCAACAAGAGTTCTCTCATTTGCAGGTATCTTCTCTTGGACATCACTGTATTTATTTTATTTTCCCTAGAATCTGAGAAGTTACCACATTCATTTTTCTTAAAGTTAATGTTTCAGCTGTTCTCTAGAGCTCATGCCAGTTCCTTAAGGCACCCTTCTTTCACAGCGCTCTAATGTCTTCATACTTTTTCTCTGTTGACTCTATTTTGTCCCCAGATTTGCACAAAAAGTTAAGTTTGATTAATCATAGCAAACACATAGTGCTTATCTATGCCAGTTCCATTGTCAGCATTTCACATGTATTAGCTCATTTAGTCCTCATGGCAACCTTCTGAGATAGGTATTGTGATCATCTCTGTTTTCCAGATAAGGAAACCAAAGCTCAGAGAAGTTAAATAAGTTACCCAAGGTCACACAGCTAGTAGGTGGAAGAATTGGCATTTGAACCCAAGCAGCCCGGCACCACAGTTCTTGCTCTCAGCAATTACATTCTTCCACCTCTCCTTTAAATTTTAAACTGTCTTCTTCACACCTTTTATTTCTAAATGTGTGAATCCATTACCTATACCTTTTAACTCCAATCCCTCTTTTCCTTAGCTCTTGTAATGTTTTACATGCATGTGTTTATAGTCAATCCTCATTATTCACAGATTTTATATTTGTGAATCACCTAAAATTTATTGATAACTCTAAAATCAAAAATCACAGCACTTTCTTAGTCCCAGACATGTGCAGAGCAACAAAAAATTTGACTCAGCTAATGTGGGCATTCCCAGCTAAGGTCAAACAAGATAACACTATGGCTTCTTGTTTTAAATCTCATACTGTAAATAAGTGTACTTCTTATGGTCTATTTAGTGTCATGTTTTTCACATTTTGGTGCTTTTTGTTGGTGATTTTGCCAGTGATTTTAATGGCCCCCAAGCATAGTAGTGAAGTTCCATCTAGTGTTCCTAAGCATGAGAAGGCTGTGATGTGCCTTATGAAGAAAATATATGTGTTAGATAAGTTTTGTTCAGGCATGAATTATAGTGCTTTTGGTTATGAGGTCTGTGTTAATGAATATATATAATAAGGTGCCTTTAAACAGAAGCACAATTTTTTAAAGTTATATGTTGATCAGTCATCAAAAATGTGACCAGAGGCCAGCAGGAACCTAACTTCGTATTTCACCTAGGAACAATGGTTCAATATCCACTAATTCATTGTTCACAGCAACTTTATAATACCTAACTACCGTTAATAAATTGACTATATATGTATGTATAATATAATTTGTATATTATACATATATAGAGATGCTCGATAAAAGACTCTTAGATGAGTAATAGAATGATGTCCAAAAACCCTGTCAGAGATGACCTATTAGAAATAGTAACGATATTTTTATGTTTATAAAAGTACTTTTTACAAAAATGCTTTCCTAAAGTATAATCACACTTTAGCCATATTGTAACTTTTGAATCTGATACAGTTATCCCCCATTTTACAGATAAGAAAAAGGCAGACTGCAAGTCACTCAAAAAAGTGGTAAAAGCCCAGAATTTTTGATGCCAAGTCCCACATTGTTGCCAGTCTACCACTGCTACTTTATACCTTCAGGGATGTTTTTAAGTTAACATAACTGAATTAAAAGAACATTCTTAAAAAGTAAGAATGTATAGAAGAGGTAGAGAATTTTTCAGAGTATTTTGTTTGAGCATCAGCTACTCGTGCACTTAGATATTCACAGCAGTCTCTTTATCTTTTCTACCGCAAACGAGTATCCTAATATCATACTTCCTTGAGTCAAAAAAACAAGTTTTTTTCACATTTTGTTATTTTGTAAAATGAAGATTTATCTTATAATTAATTGCATTTGATAAAGTATTTCATAGGTGGATTAAAATCAAACTTGTTGAACATCTTAAATCAGTATCTTGGAATAAAGGAAATATTGAAGAAATAGTACTACTTCTGAGTAAGCGGCTACTATATGTCAAACATTACTCATTTAATCATCACAACAAGCCTATAGCTATTATTATCCTCACATCTCCATTTTGGAAATGAGAAAGCTGCTAGTCACATGGCAGAGTACTTTAGCTTTTAAGTGGAAGAAGCAGCCTTGCTACCCAGGCCTGTCTATGCTCTTTGTTATGCCAAGCTGCCTTCTCTTCTGGATACAAACTTAAATTGCATAAGGATGTGTAACACATAACTCTATCTCTGTTGAGAGATACATACTTAACTTTCTAGACTCTCTAGACCAGCAGTCCCCAACCTTTTTGGCACCAGGGACGAGTGACATGGAAGACAATTTTTCCACGGATCGGATGTGGAGGGGGATTATGATTTTGGGATGATTCAAATGGGTTACATTTATTGTGCAAACCTCTCTGCTAATGATAATCTGTATTTGCAGCCACTCCTTAGTGCTAGCATCACCACCTCAGTTCCACCTCAGATCATCAGGCATTAGATTCTCATAAGGAGCATGCAACCTAGATCCCTCACATGTGCAGTTTACAGTAGGGTTTACAGTCTTATGAGAATCTAATGCCATGCTGATCTGACAGGAGGTGGAGCTTATGCAGTAATGAGAGCAATGGGGAGCAGATGTAAATACAGATGAAGCTTCACTGGCTCACCCTCTGCATACCTCCTGCTGTGCAACTCAGTTCCTAACAGGCCACAGACCAATACTAGTCCACTGTCTAGGGATTGGGGACTGCAGTTCTAGACAATGTAATTAAAATAAAGGTAACTTTTTTCAGAATGATTTTTTAGATCTCTTCTTCCTAATGACCATATATCATCATTTAAAATTGTATCTAACCTTCTTGAGTCTTTCTTTTGTCAGTTTTCTCTAGGGTTTCTTATATTTGATAAATGAGGTTTTTAAATAACCTCCTCTTACTTCCTTTACATTTCATCTTCCATTTGTAATACAGGTTGAATATCCCTTATCTGAAATGCTTAGGGCCAGAAGTGTTTCAGATTTTAGATTGTTTTGTATTTGAGAAAATGTGCATATACATATTGAAATATCTTAGGGATGGGACCCAAGTCTAAACAAATTCATTTATGTTTTATATACATTATATGCATGGCCTGAAGATAATTTTATAGAATATGTTTAATAATTTTGTGCATGACACAAAGTTTATGTTAAGTACTTATGTGTGCAATTCTTCACTTGTGGCATTATCTCAGTGCTCATCAAAAAGTTTCAAATTTTGGAGCATATTGGATTTCAGATTAAAGTTGCACAACCTGTATATGAAAATGTTTATATTTCACTGTATAATATTGAATCTCTGCTTACTGCTCAGATTTAGCTAGTGAGATATGTGGTTGAATTTCCTTTATTTTCCTGTTTTACAGCTAATGGTTGCAGAGAAGAATGGAACAATCCGGTTTTATGATCTTTTGGCTCAACAGGCTATTTTGTCTCTTGAATCAGAACAAATGCCATTAATGTCAGCACATTGGTGCTTAAAAAACACCTTCAAAGTTGGAGCTGTTGCAGGAAATGATTGGTTAATTTGGGATATTACTCGGTCCAGGTACTTCCTTAATATATTTGTCTATGGCTTACAAAACAATCAGTTACTATTGCTAAATGACTCACTGGGCCATCCTTTTATGCCTGGGCCACACTGTAGAGTGAAAACAAGTCTATCCTATAGAAGGGACAAAGCTATGGATTTTTACATATCAGAGCTATATGCCAGATCTATGGGCTTTTACATAACATAATCATGCTTTGCAGATTTACTTTGGGGATAACTCAGGGTAAAAATGCAGAGGAAGAAATCTTTGATCTGAGCAATGTGTTTACTTATGTTGGAAAAGAAGAAAAACACCTATCCTGTTGAATGATGATGCCCTGTTTCTAAGTCATGTCTTTATCATATTTCATCTATTTTAACTGAGTGCTTACTTGGAATTTTGTTACAATTTAAGTACATTGCGCATTCTGTATTTTAAAACGAAACTACCTTTTAAACCTTAATTTAAGTTCTTCTACTTGAGTCTAACACATAATTCATAAAATGCAAAATACTATCTTTTAGTTATCCTCAAGATAAGAGACCTGTTCACATGGATCGAGCCTACCTATTCAGGTAGTGTACCATTTTTGTTGGAGTTGTAATTTGATTTTTTGTGTTTGTGCTATGCCACCATTGAAATACTTTCCCGGTCCTCTCCTTTGTACTGGATTTTTTTTTTCCTGATTGTTTTATAAGTAGTTATTTTGCTTTCCCAACAAAGTCTTTGCTTTTTTCTTTTAGTCTAGACAAGGGATTGATTTGTTTTCTAAATGTTGTCTTTCAAAAATGTTATAACACAAAAAACAACTCGTTGCCACTCCATAAGCACCATTCTAACAATTTGGAGTACATTATGCTTCCTTATTGTTCTGTGCTAATAAAGATATAAATGTAGGTGAACCCGTGTTCATGCATATAAACTTGTGCTTTAAATGAAAACATGCTAAATAGTATATATCTGTGACATGCTTTTTTCACTTTAATTAACATACGTGTACTTTGTTTTTCATTCATTTTTCATAATATTCTATTGTGTAGTATAGTCATTAGCTGCCTTCTGGTTTAAGTAACAGATAAACCAAATAACTGAGACTAAAACCAGTGAAATATTTATTTTATATTTCATCAAATCTAAAATATACCCAATAGAATTATAGGACTTGGGAATATCATTATTAAGGATAAAATATATTTGACTAAATACACGAATGCCATAGGTTATAAGATGCATCCTTACTTCAAAGATGTGAGCAAATATACATTTTAAAATTAGTGATCAGTGTTACTCAAGAAGCTTGGAGGAGACAGTCTCAGGGTTCATTTCACTGCTCATCAATGTCAAAAGCTCAGACCCTTTTCATCCTTTCCCTCTGCCATTTTTAAAAGGCAAGGCCATGGGCTTGTTGCTTCACAGTCATAAGATGGCTACCAGAGTTCCATCTATACCAAAGTTATAGTCTCATGCTCCATTGTATAAAGTAAAAAGAAAGGAAGGCACACTTTCCTTTTATTAAGGATTGCTATGACTACCTTAAACTAACTGTGTCTCGTCTCCTGGGGTTGGACATACTATGCCCTGAACAAAGTAGGGGTTCACATAGCTTTGCTAAAAGGGCAAAATGGCTGTTTTATCTGTCTGATGCCTTGTTTGTGTCTCCTATCACACAGTCCTTTGGTTATAAGAAAGAGACTTTGTTAACCTTGTGGAACTTTGGAAATTAATGAAGTGACACATACAATAAGCACTTAATAAATATTCACAGAATAAGAAAATACTTATAGCTAACTAACCTGGAATTCCCAGTCTAATTGTAAAGCCATATTAACAAATTCAGAATTACTAAAATTATTGCTTTTATGCAAAAATAAATAGCCTGTTTGAGAAAAGCTTGTAGTTATCAGTAGAATCCTATATGCATTTTTATGGTTTCTTATTTCTTAGGTGGTCCACAATTAATGAAAACTTGTTTGCAACCACTGGTTATCCTGGCAAAATGGCAAGCCAGTTTCAAATTCATCATTTAGGACACCCTCAGGTAATGTAGAAATGTTTTGTTGCATATGTATTTTTCTTGGTATGTGTTTTTTACTTTTCTACCCATAACCCCCAAATTTGTAACTAAAATTTGTCTATCATCTGCTTAAACTGAAAGAGAAGCCTTTTTTGTATATTTAAATCACCAGTGGCAACAGGTTTTTCGTGGGTTTTTTTGCCAATATTCATGTAAAAAGCTTCTTATTTCTTCTATTGCTTTTATATTTTTTACTTTATTTAAATATATTAATTTAATTTTGATTGCTTGGTTGGTATGGACTGTAAGAAAGTTTGAGTCTGGGCTGTAGAAGTTATTCACAGAAGGATTGTATCCTTTATTCCAGCCTGCTACAAATAAGTAATATATATTTCACCTCTGCTGTTTCTGCTATAAGCAAAGATAATTTTTCAGTGCATTTCTTAGTTTTGAAAGTGATTTGTAAATTTGGGGGATTTATTGTGCTGCTTTAATTCTTCCCATATTTTATTGTAGCCCATCCTCATTGGTTCTGTAGCCGTTGGATCTGGCCTTTCCTGGCATCGAACTCTCCCACTGTGTGCAATTGGAGGAGACCACAAACTGTTGTTTTGGGTGACTGAAATGTAAAATAAATTTTCTTTGTAGTTTAGGTTCATAAACTTTGTATTTTTAGTACCTATTTTGGAGAGTTCCTTATTTTTATATCAAATATATTGTAAACTCTAGAAATATCTCACTTGTTGCTTTTGTTAAATAAAATATTGATGGTTTGAAAAATTATTTTCCTACTCCATTCTCTCTTTGTATGTGTAAATATGAATATACATACACACACATATATATTTTCATCATCTTATAAAACTGTGTAATTGACTCAACAGCATTGCTACAGGGAATAAATAACTAATGAAAAATAATGCTTTTGATTTTATTAAAGGATTAGTCAAGGTGTATCCTATCTTCTATACTTTGAGTATATGCTATTTTCCTAATTCTCAGGAATACAAACATTTACAAAAGGAAAGAAAATCTCTCAGGGCCTTCTGGAAGACGTTGAATGTATATATGTGTATGTGTACATTTTTTAGCAGTCTGTATGTGTAGGGATGCCGTAACTTCTTCAGTAATGATAAGGAATTATTGAATTTAATATAAAAAATGGTTTGCAATTTCTTAAAAATATGGCTATGTTACTCAACCATTTAGACCAGATGCAAATTCCTTTGGACTAGATGTTTTAACTTTCTTAGAACACCAGGGATAAAGCTTACCTTGAAAAATAACTTATGTGCTTTTAACCTCCTCCCTCTTGTATGGATCTTCACTGTTCTTACCAAAAAACCTAAATGTTTTTGAGATGGTACATAGTGGTAATAGAACTGTGTTCACACTCTCAAAGATCACTAAAACCAGCATTATGTAAGACAGCTATGTCGTGTTTTTTTGTGACACATCATGATACACTCATAAGAGTGTAAGATCATGGTTCTGCTTGTCAGTCAGGTATATAGTTAAATAAATTTCTATAAACTGTCCATTCCTGCTAGTTAATACCCTCTCTGAAGCTTCGTTTCCTCTTATAAAATACAGATAGAAGTCATTCATGCTATGAGAATTAAATAAAGGTGAATGAAAATACTCAATGTGTGTCTGCCAGAGTTCAGAGATTTGTCAATATTATGGATTTATCTCATAGATGTAAATTTCTTATTTTTGAGGATTTAGAAATTTATTTTAATACCAGTAAATATTTTTTACTCAAGTTTTCTATTCATAAAATATCTTGTAATAATTATGGAATCAACAAAATTATCTTTAAGAGATAGGAAAATGTTCCAGGTAATTAACACATTGACTTGCCACATTAGAAAAAGTTTCTTCCCTGGTGCCATGGTGTTTTATGAAAACAAAACAATCTTAATTTGTTATTTTTTGTGTTCTGTGCATGAGTTACATGCCATGCAGTCCACATTTTTAGAATTCAATTGTCAATATTAATTGTAGCAATAAGAACATCAACAAATAAGATTTTTACCAACCAGCTACAGGGTTTTGCTTCACAAGGCCCTGGGCTCAAAACTAGCCTTGTGAAGCAAAGTTAAATACAACTTACATGGTATGCAATGTTTTTAAAAAAAGGTGAAATTTTGTAATCATGTAGTTGTTTTGGGATCAACAGTTTACATGCTTTAAAGTATAGATGAAAAAATTGCATAGCAGTTTTCAAGCCAATTATGTATTCCAGTGAAATATTATTAGCAAATAATATAAATTATTTCTTTTACTGCTTTACAAGCATATTTTGAACTTACAAAGGAAAAAGCAAAGGGCAAAGAGTTTTTACATGGTTCTCTTTAACAGTCTCTGTGATGGGACAAAGATCCCTAAAAGCATCAGAATAGGCCAAAGTCATATAGTATCAACAGTGACTTTTGTATTAATAAGAATGTGTTACATCCAAGATACATCCAAAAAAAATAAAGAAAATTGAAAATTGCTGTCTTGTACTTAGAAAAATTGATGCAGTAATTGGGCAGGTATATTTAGGGATGGAGTTTTCAGGAGATGAGCATGTTGGGCTTGGGAAGCTAGGAAATGAATTCTCTGGAGTAAGGACTTATCCAAAACTTAAAAGTTGTCTGATGAAATTACCCAATAGAACTGCTATATATTATTAGGGGAGGCTGTCTTGGGAAAAGAGAATTCATGGTGGTCATGTAAATACAGTTATGCTAAAAAGAGGTAGGAAGTGTTAACCTCAAAGGAAAGAAAATGGTGGTTCCATTTGTGAATTAATATAGTGACCATCAAATAAGACATTCTCAAGAAATAAGAGGGTTGCCTTTACCTCTTAGTTACAGGAGTGGAACGTACTTTATTCTGCCCAAGCATTGAGAACTCTAACCTTTCTTTCCTTCCTTAGGTATTAAATATAGGCTATAGGACCATTTTCCATCTTATACTTTGTTAAAGTTTATTGTGTTCAATTACTTTGAAATGGTATATTCTTTTTCTTTAGTAAACTTTGTAATTCTTGATAAATAACATAAGATGTGATACTGTGTATATGTCTCACTTTTACCTTTTACATATTTATAAATATGTCTGAGAATGTTTTTCTTCTGTTGAAATCAAGCTTTCCTCAGAATTGCTTTACCACAACATCATGGAGAGGGGAAAAAAAGTTGTACTTATTTTCCAAAACTTGTATTATTTAGGACTGTTGAAGCAAAAATCACGATATCACAAATCTGCAAGATGTCAGAGCTAAATCCTCTTTCAAAATGATGGGGATCATAGTCCCATTTTATTTTTATGATTTGGCTTGTACATTGTGAATATTTCAATATCTCTCCCATGCCAAAACACAAAATCACACACCCATGCACTCCAATTTGTTTCTTTGGTAATTTGTGACTACATATTGACACTGACCTAGAAATGTTTCTATTGCTGTTTTAAATCTCATGTCAGTGAAGAAGAAATAGAAATCTGGTTTGCACATTTGTGTCTGGTTTTTTGTAATTGTCCAAAATTTGACATTGTCCCAGAAATGCTGATTGGAAAGTTCTTAGTATTGTGCCCAAGACTAATTTTAATAGTTCTTAGCAGAGAAAAAGTAGTTGCTCCAGTCTACCTGCCATGTTTTTCTATAGCTCAGAAAGTTAAACTCAAATTTAACCCAACTTGATACCATACCAGTAGTAGTCTTTAGCTCTGAGCCCAAATAAAATTTGCCAAGTAAAAATGATCATTATTATGATCCATTTCCACATATTCCTCATGAGATTTTGGTCAAGTCCTCAGAAGCAGCATTCTGTTCTACTATATCTTTATTAAACTGTGCTCAGTAACAAGGACAGGAGAGAACACTCTGTTTCTCTTCTTAACACCTTGCTAATTCAAAAACATTTATTTTAATAGGCGTTTGAAAAGAATTTCAAAACAGCTAACATTCGTTTCTAATTATACATTTAAAGAAATAATGCCCTTTAAAACGTAAGTAGAAGTTTTCCTTTTATTTATTAACATGGTTTTAATTTAGAGTAACTGTTTTGTTACCTAAACACAATAACACAACAAAATAATTAGGATATCAGCTTTAAAGATCTCATTTAACAAAAGGAAAAAAGAATACACATCTTATGATATATCCATTACTCAAACTCAAGCAGTTTCCTTTGTATGCATGGACATAGACTTCATGGAAAATCAAAAGCATTTAATCTACTTTCTGGCCTTTTCAGCTGTTCTTTGAACTACTCTAGTAAAAACAATTGTTGCCTTATGTAGGATCAAGTGACATTTGTCTGAAAATTTCCTTGGATCAGTTTATTTTTGTTTAGCTTAGATCATTGTTATATAGCTATTTGCCTTCTCAACTAATTTTTAACAGTATACTCTTACCTTAGGACTTGTAATAGTTAAAGTAAGCTCACAAAGTCCATATGAACAATGAAGGGGAGGCCACCAGGCTCCTCAGCCTTTGCAAGCAATTTGATTTAAAGATTTTTGAAATACTCATTTTTACCAACTGCATTTATAATGCTGTATTGAGTTGAATTTTTATTTCTTTGTGGTAAAAGACAATAAATGGTGCTGGTATCTTTGCTTCTAATGGTAAACACAAAACTGATCTTTCTTACAAACACAGCTGTTGTCCTATCATTGAGCCAAATCCAGACAAGATTAGGCTCTAGCCAAAATTAAGGTTAATCTTTGCAACAATCTCAAGTAAGAGCTTTCTAATACTGTTTTAGGAAATCTCTGTTTTTGAGACAGTGTATAAAGGAAATAAGTCTCAGACAATTAACCTCTAAGCCAGAGGCAACTGGTGATAAATAATACCACAGTGATAAAGAAGGTGGAAAGTGTCTAACCAAATAAGTTCATTTGGGTTCATTTTTACTCAGACTATAACAGTAAGAAATTACTTTTTTAGATGACATTAAGTTTAAATCAGACCAACATAAGTTATTTTTTAGTGAACTTCTTTCTACTATCTTTTCCTAATTTAATGATTCTTTGGTTAATTGCTAGTTCTTTCACTAATACCAATGAAAGCTAGGTGTTTATTACAGATAGATTAACGCATATATATTTTATTGTAATTATTATGTAATAGTTCATTTTTGTTTTCAGCCTACAAAATTTTATTTTCATTAAGATTTGGACTCTCTGAAATTTTAACTACTTTTCCAAATGTTCTGTAGGGCTGATTCTCTTGAGATTTGGACACTTAGTGTCTCAAGCTGTGTTGTGAACAGCTAATGATGCATTTCTCCAAATTGCCTGTTCCAAGAGAACATCTGTGTGAGTAGCCCTCACCTGAAATCTGTGGAACTCTAATATTAGATTTATCTACTAAAATTTCCCTGGCACTTGATTTTGAGCAAGTATAGGACCTGGTCATATATACAGCTGTTTCAGAAGTCTCACCCCATCCTGGACTTATCGCACAGATACATTAAACCCCAAGCCAATTCCGGAATTCTTTCAGTGTTTGTGACCTATTTCTTTCCCCTCAACCTGCCCAATAACTAAGATGTGTTCACATGTGTATATAACCTTTACAAAACCCTGGGTCATTGCTCCCCAACCTATTGATGGCAAGTACCTGGGAGAATATAAAATTATTGCAAGGGCTTCTCAAAATTACATTCATACTACCACTATCAAAATCCTCTTTTTTCTTAGAAACCATGAGCTTGTGGGATCCTGGGATAATATAGATACCCACGAAATCAAACTGGCTCATATATTTCTAACACATTGGCTAC